TAGGAACAGAAGTTAGAGCTACAGTTTGAGCTATTCAGATCAAGCGTTGTATATATGTGTGCATTATGGAATAAAAACATTGGATTAATTACTGTGTAGCAAATATTAATGCAAAGATAGAAGATTAAATGCACAATTATAAGCAGTAAACTTCTCAGCACTCATTATACTCACCCATTGTAGAATATAAATCCTGAAAATATATTGCTGCCCCAAAAAACGACAAGTATAAAAGTTTTAATTGTAATAAATCCTTGGGAGAACTTGTGATCTAACTTCTGCATTTCACTCAGCCTTTTAATGTGTGATATGGACAACAGACCATGACAATATTTGAAAACAATTACATAAATTAATATATGTATATATTCTTGATTTTAAGGAAAAATTATGATGGGGTGGAGTTTCTGAAGAGCATCATACAAGTACAAAATCCTTACCCTGTACCAGTCTATTTCCCTGCTGGACCAAAAAGCATTTTCACAGCAGAATTAAGCCCCTCCATCTTATTTCACAGAGGGGTTATGTGTTTGGAATGACGTAAGATGATGATATTTTGTCAGACATGGCGGTTTTGTCCTGCCTGAGCAGCGAGCGGACTTTCATATGTTTTTAAGCTCCGCTGTGTGACGCTCTTTTATAAACAGTGGCTTTTTATGACCATATTTGTTTGCACCGCTGCAATATTCAGATTTTCTGCATCCCTTGGTTCTAAGGATGCCGGTTGTTCACAAATGATCTGAAGCAGCAGTCTGAGGTCTTCACAGCTTGAATGACAACTAGTTGTCATCTGAAGTTATTTGGTGGCACTGCATTTAAAAGAACTTTTGATCAAAAGAATATGGAGAAAATGAAATCTTGCCATTCTTTCCTTCCACTTCATAATCACTGTCTTCTTTTATATATATAACCATACAAATAAAACAGCGATGTTCCTGACAAAAGAGAAGAATGAATATGTTCTTGAAGAAACTGTAAACAGAATCACATTTATTATAAGGAAACTAGAGAAGTTGCTCATGGATTGGCCTCTGGATATTCGTCGATTGAGGACAGCAAAGACTCCCACTGGCTGAGATGTTGCTTGTGTTTGTCTATAATTTGGTCTTAAAAACATCCGGATGACCTGATTGTGCCTCAGGGTTATAATTTAATAAAAAGAATGCTTCACAAGCTTGTGATTATCATGAAATTACCAAAAAAGTCTTTTGGTCTGTGGACTTCAGCTGTGGCATTTAATCCTTACAATGTGAACAAGGTGACAATTGATTCCCTTACCCATAGCTCCAAAGGCAATGCGCCCCCCCCCCCCCCCCCCCCCTTTCTCCCCTAGTGCATATTTTTATGTTCTGTGCTGCAAGAACACTGTGTAATTTTGTGGTTTTAATATCTACACTTTATAACGGATCTGGAGGCTGAGAACATTACGACCCAGGATGATATTTTTATTCTCATTAATCTTTTTTTGTAAAAAGCCCCTTGTGTTTATGTTGGTCATGCCTGAATCAAGTATCCCAAATCCCCCCCCCCCCCAAAAAATACAATAAAAAATGATGGAAATCATTACTCAAACAACACAGTAACAGTAGAAAACATCTCGCTGTTTTATTATGGTGGATGCAGGTAGTCCTATGTGGTCCAGCATGGTGTCGTAAAAAGAGCTGGCTGCACGGCCTCTGTAATCATTACTAGGGTTGCCAACTGCCTGAAAAAAAAAAAGGCCCACCTCATGTGCGTGCCCGCTGACCTGATTCCCTTTACCCTCCTGGCGTGGTGATTTTTTTTTTTTTTAGCCCTCTTTTAGTGTGGAATAGTTTTTTTAACTATTTGACTCAAATCTGTATTGAATTAGATGCATATTTGCTGTGTGCTTTATATTATCGCTGACTTTTTCCACCTAGGTAATTGTTTTTTCCCATTCCTCTCTATATTTTCTCCCACTATCTTCTCTGTGAGCAACACTTGGCTCGACCAATGGGATGAGGGTATTCTGGATCATTACATATATGTTGTCAGCTCATTGGTCACAATGCAGGACAGGGCCCGGGAGCAAGTTTACCATAAGTTTTGTATCTAAGGTGCCCTTGTTCTTCATTTTCCATTGCATTTTTACTGAGGATTTTTTTACTCTCACAGTATTACGTGACAAAGTGGGTTCCTTTTCCACTAAATACGGAACAGTTACTATTTCTAAATACGGATCGATTCCGTTTTTCAAGGGACGGTTGGCAACCCTAGTCATTACTATATGGTGAATTCACTTATCTGTCAGTTTTGTACCTAAATTAATATCCTTTTGATTTTATTTGTTCCGACAATGACAATCTTTTAAAACTGGTGAACCAGTTTATGGACGTCAGCCACAAGTCATTCCTTACAGACCAATTTCATAACCCCCAAATAGGAGCCTACTCTAAGAATGTAATAATTAACAACGTTTTAAAGGGAGTCCTCACTATGGTAGACAAAAACTGCAGTTACTGTTGTAGGTGGAAAAAAATGGTAGAAATTGCTGGCCATACAGCTAACTTTAAATTAAACAAACTGAAAATGTTCTTAATTAAGAACATAAAACTATGGAAATTATATATTTTTTTACATTTCTTCTCAATAAAATAACTGTTTATACAAGAGGATGTTTGAGCAGCAACAAAAAATGGTAATTCCTTGTTTTTTTTTTGGTGGTTTGGAAAACATGCTAGCAGACACAAACCCAGCTATCACTTCATCTTTAGGCGACATAGCTCTGCAGAGTAAAAGGACAAACATTTAGACACAAATAACTACCAGAACATTTGGTCCCACAGAGATGAACATTTTGTTTGTTGGTTTTTAATTTCAACATACACTATATTGCCAAAAGTATTTGCTCACCCATCCAAATTATTGGAATCAGGTGTTCCAATCACTTCCATGGCCACAGGTGTATAAATTCAAGCACCTAGGCATGCAGACTGTTTTTACAAACATTTGTGAAAGAATGGGTCGCTCTCAGGAGCTCAGTGAATTCCAGTGTGGAACTGTGATAGGATGCCACCTGTGCAACAAATCCAGTCGTGAAATTTCCTCGCTCCTAAATATTCCACAGTCAACTGTCAGCTGTATTATAAGAAAATGGAAGTGTTTGGGAACGACAGCAACTCAGCCACGAAGTGGTAGGCCACGTAAACTGACGGAGCGGGGTCAGCGGATGCTGACGCGCATAGTGCGAAGAGGTCGCCAACTTTCTGCAGAGTCAATCACTACAGACCTCCAAACTTCATGTAGCTCAAGAACAGTGCGCAGAGAGCTTCATGGAATGGGTTTCCATGGGCGAGCAGCTGCATCCAAGCCATACATCACCAAGTGCAATGCAAAGCGTCGGATGCGGTGGTGTAAAGCACGCCGCCACTGGACTCTAGAGCAGTGGAGACGCGTTCTCTGGAGTGACGAATCGCGCTTCTCCATCTGGCAATCTGATGGACGGGTCTGGGTTTGGCGGTTGCCAGGAGAACGGTACTTGTCTGACTGCATTGTGCCAAGTGTAAAGTTTGGTGGAGGGGGGATTATGGTGTGGGGTTGTTTTTCAGGAGCTGGGCTTGGCCCCTTAGTTCCAGTGAAAGGAACTCTGAATGCTTCAGCATACCAAGACATTTTGGACAATTCCATGCTCCCAACTTTGTGGGAACAGTTTGGAGCTGGCCCCTTCCTCTTCCAACATGACTGTGCACCAGTGCACAAAGCAAGGTCCATAAAGACATGGATGACAGAGTCTGGTGTGGATGAACTTGACTGGCCTGCACAGAGTCCTGACCTCAACCCGATAGAACACCTTTGGGATGAATTAGAGTGGAGACTGAGAGCCAGGCCTTCTCGTCCAACATCAGTGTGCGACCTCACAAATGCGCTTCTGGAAGAATGGTCAAAAATTCCCATAAACACACTCCTAAACCTTGTGGACAGCCTTCCCAGAAGAGTTGAAGCTGTTCTAGCTGCAAAGGGTTGACCGACGTCATATTGAACCCTATGGATTAGGAACGGGATGTCACTTAAGCTCATATGTGAGTCAAGGCAGGTGAGCAAATACTTTTGGCAATATAGTGTATCTATTAACTTAGCTAGTACCCTCTTTCTAGCGGTTAGGTTGGAGAATTTCCTCACTTCCTCTACAAATTCGATCTTGATTTTTTTAGTTTTCAATTTTCAATACGGGTTAGACAAAAGAGCTTTGTTGCAGCTAATAAACAACATCCTCTTCAGGATGTGGAAATCTGAAAAGTTGATTAAAATGATCAGATAGTAAATGGGGTCATGAAGGGTGAATGAAGTCATTTGACATAAAACGAGTGGTAGAAGGGGCATTTTTATCAAGAGCTGCAAGACACATTTGAAGGGATGTAATATTTCGTTATTTTACATTTGCCCCCTGCATATGAGCATTTCTTTGGCCATTTGGAAGGCAGCTAACTGCTCCTGACACTAGTGTTGCGCCGATACCATTTTTTGGCCTTGATACCGATACCCGATACCTGGCTGTGCACTATTGGCCAATACCGATACCATACCTTTGTGAAGCAGGAAGAAGACTAATACAAAGTGAATCCAGTAGAACTTTTTATTGCCTACTTGGAATGGGTGACAAGAGTTGAATAAACTTTTGGCTCTCAAAATGGTATCGGTGCCCTATTTGTTGGTACTCGCCAATACCGATACCACCATTTTAGTGCATCAGGGCCCTGCCCGATACTGGTATCGGTATCGGTGCAACACTACCTAACACCCAAATGTGAAAAAATATCATACCAAACTGCTTGCATACAACATAGTAAAGTTGTGAAATAGAAAAAAAAAAAGAAATGTAAGGTACTACACATGTAAGCTACTAAACGAATGTATAATCCTATAAATGCTATCTAATTTTTGGCACTGTAAGGGGAAACTGGTATCTTTTAAATACAAAATGTCCAGCTTGTTTTATGCAGGGTGGAAAATGAATGAAACCACAAGAGGCAAAACTTGGGTAAGAGTTGATACAGTGGGTGCATTTACTTGAATCCCTGTTGATTCACATCATTATGAAGTCCATAAATATATTTCATGTATTTTGTTAAACATCTGCATTTTTGGGCGTCTATCAACCCCTGCCTGAGTCACCTGTGTCGTTGCGGCTTAAAGTGCAGGCTGCGTGTCGGTCGGGGGAACAGTACGAGTCCCTGCCAAAGGGTCACTTTATTACAGACTCGCTGCCAACACATTTGTCTCCGGTTACTTACACTTCAGTGAAGGCACTTATAAAGTCTTGCTGTGAAGCACCTTTGCAGCCCTAGCTTTGTTTTATAGCCTTAAAAGTCAGTTTAAAGCTATTTTCTTATCTCACTTTAAGGAAGACTTCTTTCAATAAATAACACAAATATATTTATACATCATATAAAGATAGATAACCATGTATCACTACATGCATTTCATATAATTTAAATAATTTATATATACAGTTCTCCTTAGCACAGGCCTCTCCTCCCTCCAACACTCTCAAATGAGCTCTTTCATTACAGCTTGCAGCACATTGGTTTGAAATAGCATTCAAATGGACGCTGGGTTTCTTCAGTCGTATCTTTTGCAGCAGAAAGTTGCTGTTCGCTCCCAGGACACCTAATCCTGTGGTGCTGGGGTTGCTGTGGAAATAAAAATCCCAGACAAGGAGGTGGAACTCCACGCAGGTAGTTATTGGTGGAGCTCACTTAATTTTGTTTCGTCCTGTGACGTTTCCTGGACAACGCACAGATGCAGGAAGTGTTTATGCGTATCCACCTCCATCCCATTTTGCCTCGATCTTCTGTTAGTGCCCGAACAAATGTCTGTGCCGTCTTGCACTTTGAGTTCCAGTTCTTGTTGTCAATTCCCCGACACGTGTTTTCTCGGGACTGGTGGTCCCGACAGTTCGTCTCGTAAAAGTACTGACTGATCTCTTTCTTGTCAGGTAATTTAATTTTAGCCATAACGGCCACATCATTCCCCTGTATGTCCACAGCAGTGGTTTTGTCATTCACCCACATGCTTTCGCTGTCACAGACAGAATACTCCCCGCGGTAACTCTTGTGTTCGGTGTGACGCTTCTTCCGTGTCTTATTTCCCCCCACAGCTCCTTCCAGTTCATTGCTTATGAAGTCGTCCTTGAGGTACAGAGGAGGTGGCTGTAGAGGCGGCCGGTCACTTAGCACTACCCGAGGTGAAATGTATCTCTTGTGCTTTCTCAGGAGGTCCGAGCTGACCAGCATTGCTTGGTGCTCGACAGCCGATTCACTGGTCCCACCACTGCGGCCCCCTTCCCCCCACTGCTCCTCATCCTCCTGATCCCTGAAAGGTAAGTTTGGTTCCAAGAGAGGGGGGAGGGTTTCCTGCTGCTCCGTATCCCGGCTTCTGCCCTGCTGGCTGTGATCCCCCTGGATCCTTTCTCTCGTCAGGTCGGCTTGAAGCAGCTGGATTATGAGGGAATTTAAGGGGTCAGGACTTGGCGACTGCTGATGCTGTCCCTGGCGGCTGCTGTTCATGCTGGATGCCTGGATACCATATAGGTACACAAGGGCCATCACATAGAGCAGGATGGACATCACTAGATTCACCTGCAGAATCTGCAAAGACAGGAAAAGAGACATCTTCAGGCGGGTATACACACATATGCAGATGATATGTTCTTTAACCCTTACAAAATTATCCCATGGATTTCACATGTTCATATGTGATTCCCATCTTCTACATGTGTTTCCTGTTTCCTCACATTAAAATACCACACATTTAACATATGATTCTCATCGTCCATTATCCCAGATGTAGGTCACATTCAGGCAATCACTCAGTCACTTTTATTTGTCCCCAATGAGGCAAATTGTTGTGAATCAGAGGAAGCAGCAACATATATTAGACATAGAAAACACATAAAATGACATGCCTATAAAAACATACATATATAAAGGAAAAGAGTGAAAACTGGTCAAATACAGGCAATCAACCTTTTCCTCCTGGAGTTGTTAGTTTTGGCTCGTCGGAGCCTGAGCAATAAACCGAATGGAAGGAAATGGAACTGATGATGTAAAGGATGTAAACAGTCAGACGGGGTAAATCCTGCTTCCTGAAGCAGCTTTTTGTTATACAGATCCTGCATAGTCTCTTCAGTACTGTACTTTTTTTTTTAGACATGGACGATCTTATTAAGAATATTCTTCTGCTGCTGACATTTCATGTAGATTGTGTTATTATTACTCTTAAATGTCAGTTTATTTTCTATTTTTATCCCTAAGTACTTTTTGGACTCTACAATTTCTACATGCCGGCCATCAATAACTGGTTTCAGGAGATGGATGCAAATGCCTAAAATCAATGCATGTCTTTGATACATTCAGTTAAAAAGGAATCCGGGCACCACTTTAAAAAATAATCAACCACAGGACCATGAGAGAATTTAGAACAATTTAGGAAGTTCAGAATGATGGTACTGTTCAGTACTTTCAGAGTATGATGGGATTTTTTTAATATCAGTTATTACTGGACAACAAACGGAGAGAGTACACAACCCTCCGTTGAGCCAATAGATGTTAAGGATATATCAGAGGAATGTTTATTTATTCAAACTCTCTATGTTCTGCAAGTCAAAAAAATCCAGAATCCAGCCTACAAGGCTATTAGAGTTGTTGATTAATCCGGATTAGCAGATGAGGCAGAGTATCATTAAAGGCGGAGGAAATGTCAAAGAAGCCAGTGTGATTATTGGAGGTCTTCAGATGCTAGACAGTGTTGGGCATGAACGGCGTTCACTGAATATGTTCTTATTTTTAGTGAAAGGTGAACTGAATGGATCTGTTTTGAAGTAATGAACATGAACGAGAGCGACGTTCTCTCTGAGAATAATGAGCTTATTATCGAAAACAGCATGACAGACCAACATGTCTACTGCCAGTCTGCATGATTCAGACTAATCTGCTGGTATTTCTGATGCCAGTTCTGCAGAGCGCTTGGCAGAGTTTATAAACTAACAAAGGAAGAATCGAACAGCTTTTGTGCAAACTGCGCACATCGTGACTTAACAAACAAGTCCATACGTCAGCCATGTCCATTTCAAATTTAAAGCGAGACATCGAGTTAAAGCATCCAAGCTATCTTGGGAAATATCTGCTACTGAATGAGAAACGTAAGAAATTATTTTTAATCCAGATCTTTTCAGCAGAACCTGAATGTTCCTCTATGTTTATGAAGTTCTGTGTAATTTGGCTAAATAAAGGTTTCACTGCACATCCAGTATACATTGAGTGCATCAAGTATTTTCCATTTCTTGACCTCTTGACCTAGTTCATTTATAGGTTTGGGAACTGTTCTTTCTATGAACTGCAACACATTGCTTGTAGAAAAAGTCTAAAATGTTTGGGACATTTTCCACATACGATCAGTTTTGTTTATGTATTCCATGTTCCATTCAACTGTGGATCACATGTGGAACTTGTGATGGCATATTTCTCAACTGTGCATCACAAATTAAGATTTTTTCTCATGTCAATATCATTAGATTGTCCTCTGTGTAATATCCTTTTAAAATCTGTCAAAATGTATTTATCTGTGTGTCTTGTATTTCTATATGTTTTCTATGTAAACATCTTATAATGTTACAAAAAAAGGAATAAGGAGTTTCGAAAGTAAACACAAATTTGTAGTGTCAACCAGTTATTCAGTTGGATTTCCCTTTCATAAATCCCATGAATTTAACATTTTACTGGTCACTGGTCAAACCCATGTAGCAGATGTCAAACCATGAGGTAGACATGCAACTAAATTACATGTAAAAGTATTCAAACATGTGGATTTGGGCCAATTCCTGTTAAAAACTCATGTGATTCACATGCTAAAAGTTGTAAATCCTAGTGCCTCAATTGGGAATCGTGAAAATATGTGTATCACATGTTTTTCACATTGGATACACATCTCTTCACAAGTGATTCCTATTTAGACACATGTTGCTTACAGGCAAACATGTGAATCACATCTGATACACATGCAAGTGATCCCATGTAATTGCCGTGTTATTCACAGAGGAATCACTTGCCACCACATGAACACACATGCTGGTAAATGTGATAAACATGTGGTACATGGTTCAGTAGGAGAATCTGTTGACAGGTACTATCAGTCCAGCATTCTCCAAACCCTGTCCACCTGGAAGAGTTGCTACTGTCTCATTTGTTGGATGGTGTGCTGCAAAATATTTTTGTTTTGGTTGTCAACATGGGAAACCCTTTCTTGTTCCCAAAATCCGGAGTAATGCACATTGCCCTGAACACACTTAGCTTATTGTGAAACATGGTGGCAGTGGCATCTTGCTATGGGAAAGGATTGATACAGCATGCACGGAGAAGTCGATTGAAGTTGATTTGGGGGTCTTAAAAAGGTTCACCTAGGGGCTCAAATCTCTAAGCAGATGTAAGCCCCTATAAAACCAAGACCTGTCTCTACACTGGAAAAAAAATCAAAATCTCTATCAGTCATTTTCTCTTAAAATAAGTGCATTTGTTCTTGGATTGAGCAGGTAAAAGAGACATCTTGCCAATGGAACAAGACAATTTACACTTAAAATAAGAAAACACAATTGCATCGTCTTAAATCAAGTGCATATTATCTAATTATCTCATTTTACACTGCAAAAACGATCTAGAAATGAGTAAAAATGTCTTAAATCAAGTGTATATACCCATAATTTGAGCAGATAAACAACATGATTTGCCAATGGAATTAGTATTTTTACTCTTAAAATAAGATAATTAGATAATATGCACTTGAAATGAGCCAATACAATGGCTTTTTCTTATTTTGAATGTAAATTGTCTTGTTCCTTTGGCAAAGTATCTCCATTTTCCCCTCAATTCAAGAAAAAATGCACTTATTTTAAGAAAAAATGCCTTTATTTATACTATCTAATACCTTTATTTTAACTATCTAATTTAGCTACTCAAATAGAATGGTAAATACACTTAATTTAGGAAATTTTTACTTTTAAAAATGTTTTTCCAGTGTATATAAAAAGCTGCAGCAGATGGGGTTTCTTTCTACAAAATACTGACCCAAATGGGCCGATTTTCCTCTCTTTACATAACGTTTTGGAACCAAATGTCAAAACCTTGTGCTTTTTTTTCTGTCTAATTCACACATATTCACTAATTGTTAATGGGTTCAGCTTTGAAATACTTTGTTGAGGGTATACTTTTGCACTAACTGCAGACAATTACAGCACAGTTGATCAGTTCCTTTATTTGATTTTCTCTTCTAAAAAGGTTTTTCAAAACCATCAGGGTGACTTTGTCGTCAAACTGGGAAAATATGAGGCTCAGAAGTTCAATTCAGTTTTTAGAAGAGCTGAATTTGAACCATCTGGAGACTAAAAACAACAGATGTATTCCACCAGGATGTGTGTCACACTATAGCATGTTTGAGAATTAACATGAAGTAACTTGTGCAAACATACCAAACTTGCAAGAAACATCCTTAACTGAAACCATTTTGGCCGCCGGCTCTCTAAAAGAGGTTGTTGACATCGCCTACCGCAGCATCTTCACTACTTTGAACAGCTTTCTCTGCGGTGGATGTTTTCCCACAGACCTGAAGATGTTCTCTAAAGAACAAGGCTTTCATTTTATTAACAATAAACAGAACCAGAGAATTTCTATTATTTTAAGACTTTAATGCTGGTTTCTTGTTTTCATTTCTTTAAGTTAGGGTCTTACCTGCTTTTTGCAGGGTAAACTAATTCCTTTAGTAAAAATAAAACAAAACATTCAATTACGTTCAAAGACTCCTGTGGTTTTTGTAATTTGAAACCTTTTTCATGCCAGTTTTTTATGGAGTGAATTCTGTTCCATTATTTATAACATGTTTTGTAAATTAAAATTAAGAAAAATGCATCCTAGAAATCATTCTTTGTTTAACAACTTTATAATTGGTAAACTTAAAAGTAAAATATTTGGCATAAAGGTTTTTCTGGCTTGCTTTTTTTTTCATTTTCATTCACAAAACCTGTTATTTGCTTGTAACAATAACTTTATAACTTTCTTTTAAAATATCTAGTAAAAAAAAACACATAATCTTTTGTTATGATCACTAAATAAACATTGAAGGAGATTTATTGTTGTAGCTATAAAACCAGTGTGTTTTTTCTATTATGAGTAAAGTTCCACTCCTAATCTGGCTGAGTGAAATTCAATTTTTCTCTTTGTCTAACCAGTCCTGTAACTCTGGCTGGGAAGTTTCAGCTGCTGTTCTTTTCATTGGAAACTAAAAGAAATCCACCCTTGGTGATATTTAAATGAGTCGTCGTTGTCAGTCTGTACAGCTTGAACTTTTAACAGCCACACTGTCAATGTTTGTCATTCCCCAAACTTCCATTTTTTTTCTCTTTTCTTGGCTAAAATGTTGCAGTAGTTAAAGAAAAAGGCAAAAAAAGAGCAATCGGATGGATGAACCATCGAGTCATCTGAATTCTGACTGTTCTATAGATGCTAATTTCAAGGGCTGCAACTCAACTATTATTATTATTATTTTTACTCAGCTGATTAAAATATTTTTTTCTTTTCTTTATAAAATAAATCAAGCTGCT